ACACGCTGTGTTTTAGTTTTATCTGAGCTTAATGCATTTTTTGTGGACACAGCCTCTGGAGGCTACTGGACAGAAGAGCAACAGCAGGGCTCAAGACCAGCATGACACAAATAGCTGTAGCAGTTTGTGCAAAGCGTATTCTCTTAAAGGTGTCAAAGCACAGACACGAAGCAAAAGGAAGTGCTGGCCGCTGTGGACAGAGCTCCGGGACCCCTTGCAGGCCCCTGCTGAGCTGGGCGAACGTGGACTGCAGCTTTCAGAAAGACAGAAAGACAAAGTCCAGGGCCTGCCTGAGCGAGAGCAAGAGACAGAGAGACAGAGACAGAGAGGCAGAGAGACAGAGGGAGAAAGAGAGGGAGAGAGAGAGAGAGAAAGAGAGAGAGAAGGAGAGAGACAGGGAGAGAACAAGAGAGAATGAGAGAGAGAGGGAGAGAGAGAGGCCTCTGCTGAATCCTTTGCCCCTCGAGGGGGTCTCCAAAGAGCTCAGAAATAAACTCCGCCCACCACACCTGCCATGGGGCACCATGAGGACATCATCTTCTTGGCAATTCACAATGCTTCAAGCCACGAGGGCAGAGAGGCTGCTCCAAGCGGCAGTGTTTCCTTGCAGGGACAGAAATCAGTACCAAGCCGGTGTGGAAGAACACGCCATGCTCTCCCTCAATAATCCCTGCAAGCAATAGCTCAAGGGACGGGAGTGGGAGACTCACCAGATAGTTCTGTCTCTTACCTCGGAGGAAGGGGCAGGAAGTTCTGGAGACCCACCTGCTTTGAAACTAGGCATGATCTGGGGACTCACTTTGGCAAAGAACATGTGAACAGAAGTAATGTCCACAAACTCCCACACCAAAGCCATCCAAGCCGGTGCCCTTGGTCTGCATCCTGCCGTGTGGCTTCGGAGTTACAGCAAATTGGGTCAGTGGTTCTACCAGCAGGGTGCATAGGGGATCTGACAATAGGAGTCCTCATAATGACCCACACTGGTCACAGAGCAAAAATAAACTCTATTATGTTAAGACCTGGGAAGTTTCGGAGTGTTTTATTATGGGAATTACATTAGCCTACTCTGACACCAAAAAAAGAAATTGAGAAAATACATTTCAAACTGCTGTCACTAGGACTGGTGGCTTAAGGCTTTTCAGTTTTGCTCTAAGTGGTTTGAAAACCAAGTAAATGTGAGATTAAAGATAATCTCAAGGACATGGCTTTCACATGGATTCCCACTCAAATTCCTTCTTCCCAGGGAAAACATAATCATGTATGTATCTGCTGCCACACTGAAGTTTTATAAATGTGTGTATGGGCCCAAGGTTATTATTTTTAGATCTAGGGATACGTGTGAACCAGTATCTTTCAACTGACTTATTTAATAGGATGTGCAATTAGTGTGGATTGCACCTAACTCCTAGGTCCAAACAAGAGATTCCCTTGTTTTTCAAATCAGGTCTTTACTTGTTATCAGTTGGTTTAATCTAGTGTTCACTAAAGAAACAGAAAGTCTTCAGACACACCCTTATTCACACCCAAAACTTTGCAGAATTTATGCCTCATGTTGCTACCTTGGACACCTTGGATTGACTCTGGTACCCAGCCAGAGACAGGAGTCCCCTGGGGGGACGGGCGATGCAGGGCACAGCTGGGCGGGGTCCCCACGCAGCCCCGTGACAGTGAGGCATGCCAAGCGTCGGAGCTACCCTGGAGCATTTGGCAAATCGCTGGAAAACGCTTGGCAGGAAAACACTTGTGGGCGAGAAATACTCCAGTTCTTCATTCCTCTTCTGTATTGAGCTTGGTTCCAGAGTCACTTTCTGCCACTCTCTCTTCCAGCCACCAAAGTTCTTTCAGAGGGAAGGTCCACGCCCAATCCTGTGTCACAGCTGTTAACGCAGAACAGCCCTCTACCTTCGAAGACCCAGGGCCCCAATTAAGAGAAGGGGGCATCGCTCCTTCCCCATCCGAAAAACATCTTCAGGGCCGGGGATGTAGCTCAGTGACACTGTGCCTGCCTGGCAAGCGTGAGGGACCAAAGAAATTAAAATTAAATTAAAATTAAAATCACCTTCATATGCTGGGGGCTGTTTGCTGCTCCTCCGGTCACCTCTGTGCCTGCTGGTAGAGGGAAGCATTTTTGCAGGTGACCTTTCTCAGGCAGCCCCTCTAAGCTTTATCCCCTTCTGCCTCCAGGGGGTTGTTAATTTCAAGGTTAATTATGCGTTGAGCAGCTGCCAGGTGCTTCCTGTGTGTCTGCCCAAGGATCAGTTTAAAATGAAAATCCTTCAAAGCTGTTTGCACCACATGACCGGAAGCTCACTTAAGGGAAGGCAGTGGATGGTGTGTGGGATCCCAGGGCTGAGCCTGGGGCCGAGCTCAGGGTGCCTCAAGGCCGATGCCTTCTACAGTTGCTGTGCGAGGACTAGAGAGCCCAGCCCTACAACTGCACACAGCCGGCATGCTGCTGCCCAACCAGCCACCCACACGCCCCACCTGCCACCCTGAGATGAGCTGGTTACTAAGCCAAAGGTGGCTAACAGGGGTCATGCAGACCTAGCTGGGAGGCCACAAGGATTGGCTGGAGAAGAGCCATCTGCTGCTATCCAAAGGACCTGAAGGTAAGGTAGCGGCCAACTCAGCCACAAGGACCAATGACAAAGAAAACTGACAGCTTACTAACTACTCAAGATAGCTGCAAAACACTTTCTTTTCTTCCCTTCCTCCCTCCCTCCCTCTGTTTCCCATCACCCTCCTCCTCTTTCTCCCTCTGTTTCCTTCCTTCCTTCCAGCACCAACCTCAGAGTAGAAATTCGAACCTCCAGCTCAATGCCTAACAGTAAGGCAAACACCCACTTTTCTGAAATCCCTGACGTCCAAATGCCTGATGACACTGGTGTACCTCTCACCTGCAAGATTCTGGATAGATCCCCAGTCATCACCCAGCCAGAGAGTGGCTCCCCCGCCCTTCACCTCTGTATTACAGTTCCAAGGCACTGCCTTCAGAAGTGTCTCTGACTATCTACCAGAAGCTATGGTTGATACATTGTATCAATTTGAGAAGTTTAACTGAATGACTCAGCAGGGAGCCAGGGGCCTCACTTTGTAAACATAGGGACTACACTAGGCTTCCCGGGTGGTAGCCTGCTTACACTATAAGGCAGGAAAAGAGGCTTGTCCCGCCCCTCTCTTGCTTTTGCTGTCTTCTGCTGTGGTAGAAGTGTTGCCCCTCTGCCACACTACCCTGCCTCAGAGCAAGCTGGTTACAGACTGAAACCTCCACACACTGTGAGCTAAATAAACCTTTCCTTCCTTAATTCTGGGTGTCAGGTATTGTCTCCCAGCAATGAAAGAAAAGTAACTAAGACACCAGGTATAGGCTTGACAACTTCTCATCCCACTCCCTCTTCCCAGAGCACCCTTCTCAGAGGAGCTCTGCTCCGGGTCAGTACAACTGTGCTGACTACACAGCCTGTGGGAGCTCCTCCCCCGAGCTCTGCAACCAAGGACCATGCACATGCTTGCTCCTGTGTCTTCTTCCATGCTGTCTTCTACAGTTATGGCCAGTTACCACAACTAACCAACCAACAGCCAGGCCAGCAGGTTTAGACATGAGATTATTACAAGAACCAAATATAAACAGTGGGCCAGAAATATGCCAGATTGAAGCTCAGAGCCATCTCCAAACCCAAGATTTTCTAAGTCTTGCTTTCTGTCCCTTTCTCCTTTTAATCATTTTAGAGCTTTAAACGAATGCATTCAGGGCCACTGCTGATACCACATGCAGTGTTGGCACACAAAGGCATCTAAACCAAGGCTTGAATTTCAGGAGTCTGCAAATTGTCCCAGCTCCCTACCCTCCAGATCCACATGTGTCCCCACAGGCAGGAAAAGCAAGTGTAAGAGAAGGCCTGCATGGGTCTCGCCTGTCTGCCTGAACAAGGCATCCACCTGGATTTCTCACTCAACTACCCCACCCCTCAGGGACAGGCCACAGCCTGAGAAGATCTTCTGGGGTTTGGCACTTCTTGGTTAACTTTGCAATTTCTGATGAGAAACATGAGCAGTCTTTAAATGTCATGAGTTCTTAAAACAAAACAAAAACAATACATTTAACTTGTTCTTGTCAGCAAAGCTTTGCAATGCGCAGGTGTAGGAAACCACTGGAACTGCTTTGAAGCTCAGGGGTGTCTAAGGACACCTGAGGATGTGACCCTGCTCGTCTAGCACAGGTGCATAGTGGGATACAGTTATGTAACCATGACTTAGCACAGGGAAACACACATGCGTTGGTTACAGTACTATGCAAGAATGTAAATATGTGATAACAACCTGTATAAGAATTATACAAGAAAAACAGGGGCAGCGCTGGCTCTCGTTCTCTTATGTGCTTGTGCTCTGCTTCATGCTGCCTGCTGTTGTTGCTGATATCTTGCACATGTGTTCTTTAACCTTGGGACCTCACCCATGAAAATCTCTCTGATGTGTGCCTCTTCTTCGGGTTGACAGCAGGATTCCTGCCTACCACTCTGCTGACAAGGGTATCAGTCAGTCTGTCTATCCTGTTCACACCTCTAAGTGTCCCTGTTAACTGGAAATAAAGTCAGGCTCTCCCAGTGCTGGGAGCCTTGCACCCAAGCCACCCCTTCCCTTCAATCCTCCCTGCAGACACTGGCCACCCTGCCCTCCAAGGCCAGCAGCTCCATCCCTCTTGACTTGCTGCCTCCTCTGTCTGGAATGATCTTTCCATCTGAGCTGTTTCTTCTCATTGTTCAACTCAAATGTCACTCCTGGAGAACCCACAGTAACTAATGGGGCCCAGTCCTGAGTCATCACCTGTTTTGCTATCTTCTTGGTGCTTATTTGGACCAACAGGTGACATCCAGGGAAGGCTTTCCTCTGAGAGGTAACCAGAGACCACATAATAGGTGCAAATGACCCTTCCACCTGATGGAGAACACTGATCCAAGACAGCCACTTTTGGAATTCATAAAAGAAATAGACAATTATAATTTTCATGCCAGAAGAAGAGTTTATTGAAAAGACCGAAGGGTTTATCTTGCATCACAAACACCAAAAAAAAAACCGTGACAAATATTAATTCTAGTTATGTTGCTTCACACACATGCCCACAAATCCCTACCATACTTCACAGAATTATTTTCAAATATCACAAAGAAGAAGCTTGTGTGAAAGCATAGCAGGTCATACAAAGGTGTCACCCTAGGCTTCATCCTGTTGTGAGTTTCTCTGTGGGACTCAAAAGACAGAGGGCAGCATCTCAGAGGGGCCTCTGTGACACGGAGTGAGGCTGGAGCTGACCCCTGGGAGCCTTCCCTGCATTCACTGTGGGAGAGAGTGTAACCTGGAGCCGAGATGTGATCGAAGCCCTGGTCTTCTTGCTGGCAGTGTAGCTATTAGTGCCCAAAGGGGCCACAAGGCCCACACCGCCGAGGTCGTGTGAGGCAGGGCTTGATGACGTAGGGCACGATGGGCTTGTCACAGGCATTGGTGGTGGCGCGTGGGTTGCAGGGAAGCCTGGGGACAGAAAATCATCAAAGCAAGTTAGAATAAAATGAACAAAATTAAGAGGAAAACCCACAAAAAAAATCCATCATGTGTCTAAGTATTGTTCTCCCTTGGAAGACTCCAGCCAGGACCTGGAAACATAAGCCCATTTCCACAATGGGGACCATTCCACGATGGTGACCTTGTCACCAGGGAATGTGACCAGGGAAAAAAACCACACCCATACTCACTTGCAGTCCTCACTCTCCAGCAGCCCCCGATACGTGTTGATCTCGCCCTCCAGCCGTGACTGCATGTCCAGCAGCACCTGGTACTCCTGGTTCTGCCTCTCCAGGTCACCCCGGATCTCCGCCAGCTGTGACTCCACACTGCTGATCAGTTGCTGCACCTGCGCCAGCTGTGAGCTGTAGCGGGCCTCGCTCTCGGTCAGCGTGTTCTCCAGGGAGTTCCTCTGCGGGGACGACAAGAGCATCAGGTGCTGCAGGGGCCCCCGAGAAGTCCCAGCTTGGAGACTCAAGGCCCACCGGACACCAGGACTTCCCCAGCACCGCCCCGCCCCCAGGCTCCAGCAGGGCTGCCCCACACTCACCAGGTTGTGCTGGGCCTGCAGCTCAATCTCCAGGGCATTGACTGTTCGTCTCAGCTCAATGATCTCCGCCTGGTAGCTCTGCAGCTGCTCTGAGCTTGACACCACCTGCTTGTTCAGCTCCTCAGTCTGCAACAGCCAAGTTGGGGGCGGAGGGACGGGGACAGGGTCAGGCGCTGCCTCGGGGGCCCTGGAGAGCTGGAAGTTGCACTCAGTGCTGGGTGGCCCACCTGCGTGGTGTACCACTCCTCCACCTCCCTGCGATTAGTCTCCACCAGGGCCTCGTAGGTGTTCCTGACTTCGTTAAGCACGCGGTTGAGGTCCATGGAGGGTGCGGCGTCCACCTCCACGTTGAGGCGGTCCCCAAGCTGGCAGCTCAGGGTGTTGACCTCCTGTGGCAGAAGGGGAAATGTTCAGTGTCACCAGTGACCTCCATGTTCTCTGCAGAAGGCAGTTCTCCTGATGACTTCTGAGCCCTGGACAAGCTTCTTCCCCTCTGTCCTCTCCACACCATGTTGAAGCCATTGGTGAGTCTCCATTCTGTTCTCCACCAAGAACCTGAGCTCATGACCCTCTTCATCCTTCACACTCAGTTTCCCCCTCTTCCCTGGGGGTCCTGGAGTGTGGTAGCCTCAGAGCTGAGGCGAGGTGGACCATGACTTAAATTCTGGCCCCTAAAACCCTACTTCAATGTTCTTGCTAGAATATCTCACAGCGCCCAAAGTTTGATTCTTAAGCTTGGGTCATAAAAAGACTGAGGCTGGCCAAGACAAGCCTATTTCAGTGCCTGCCTTCCTTGAATAGGGCTGACTTAGCTAGAGATGGGTCCGTTCTGCTGATGCAGACTGGGCTGGCTGAAAAGCAGCAGCTCCCTGCCTGATGTCTCTCCACAACCCAGTAGAGTTTGGTCCTTGGTCCCTTTGTGTCCCATCTCTAGTACTTAATAACTTCTAGAAGTTTCTCCAACCCCCAGCTTCTTCATCTTAAAGATTAGAACCTGCTGTGCAACTCACATACTAACATTAACCATCCTGGGATACAAAACTGCAAAGATCTGTCTGCTTCACATCACACCCAAGAGCAGAAAGAGTTCTGGGCAGAGATGAGGAGCTCTGATTTGTCACCCGATGCTCAGCCCCCTTTGCTGGCTGGCTCAGGGCCATCGGCCCAGAGACACAGGGACCTTGGGCCCCAGGATGGTTGGAGGCGGAGCCCCGTCCTGCTGAGAATTCACCTGCTCGTGGTTCTGCTTGAGACACAGCAGCTCCTTCTTCAGCGACTCCACCTGCGCCTCCAGGTCAGACTTGCACAGGGTCAGCTCGTCCAGGGTGCGGCGCAAGCCATTGATGTCCGACTCCACCAGCTGCCGCAAGGACAGCTCGCTCTCATACCTGTAACCATAGGGGCCTGGGGTCAGGCTGGGTCAGCCTGGTTTGCTCTGGTTGTCAGATGGCTAGGAGTTAGAGTAGGTATCTGTAAGGTTTCCAAGGTGAACACCTCTCAGGCTCACAACCGAGCTCTGTGCTCAGCAGGACCCGGGAGGACGAAGCTGTGTACACTGCCACCAGCAGGACTGGAGGAGGGGAAAGAGGACGGGGACAGGGGCCTGAGATTCACCAAGCAGGAACTCTGTGAATCTTGGGGAGCCATCTAAAGAAAGCTCGCTCGTGTTTGCCATTGTTGACAACAGCACCCCACTCACTTGGTCCTGAAGTCGTCGGCGGCCAGCTTGATGTTGTCAATCTGCACCACCAGCCGGGCATTCTCAGACTTGTTGCACAGGATCTAGAAGCCACAAGACCCTGCTGAGTGAGCCCTGGCTTGCTTCAGTTCAGCCCACGGCAGCCACGGTTCACGCACTTACAGGAGAGGCTCAGCCTGAGAATCATGGTGTACCTTGTCTGCCACTATGAACTGAATGAACACCAGAGAACCCAAACTTGAAACCAGAACACTGAACTATGCAAAGGAGGCCGGAGCAGATGATCCTCTTTTTTTTTTTTTCCTCTCTAGTAAATAATACTGAAAAACTGATAATAATTCATACTTTTCTACTCTGCGGCTGGCATGGTTCCCGGATAAACAGCAACAAATGTGAATATCCACTGGTTCCCGCCCTCAGGAATCTTTGGCTCTGCAAGGAGGATAATTATGTAAAGCAGCAGGGCTGGGAACTGGGTCAGGGACGCCAAGGACTTTTCCTGCTCCTGGGGGTCTGGGTACCATTTCGCCCTACCGAGCACCCAATCCTCCTGGGCTTAGGCCCCCCTGGACAGTGTCCAGGCCAGGAGAATTAAGAGTCCAGAAGAGAAAGGAATCTGGAAATCAGAAAAGCCCAGTGTCCAGCTGAGGAAAGAAAGTGGTCTAATCCATCCCTTAGCATTTTCCTAAGCTCCATCATTGTCTCTCCCTGCAGACTATGACCTCCACCTTGACCAACTGTGCCAGTGGCCAGAGTCCTAAGTCTGGAGACAGATGGGCCTCGAGAAAGCTAATGGGAGGCCAGCTGTCGGCCCTCCTGTCATCCCCAGAGCTCGGGTCATCTCTGCACCTATCTCCGATTCTCTCCCAGCAACTTCACAGCAGTGACACAATGACAGCCCGGCCTCACCTTCTGCTGCAGCTCCTCGATGGTGCGGAAGTAGGACTGGTAGCTGGGGCACAGCAGCGGCTCCTGCTGCTGGCTGCGCTCCTGGATGCGCCTCTCCAGCTCCGCATTCTCCCGCTCCAGCTCCCGAACCTTCTCCAGGTAGCTGGCCAGGCGGTCATTGAGGAACTGCATGGTCTCCTTCTCGCTGCCATTGAAGGAGCCCTCACAGAACCAGGTGCAGTTGCCCATGTTGGTGGGGATGTTGCAGGCCCCAGGCAAGGTGTAGCCATGGCAGCTGGGGGGCACGCAGGGCCTCGAGGAGCAGCTGGTGCGGCAGCTGAGGGCAGGCAGGCTGCAGCTGTAGGGCATGGTGCTGAGGGAGTAAAGTGCCTGGCCGAAGATGGATCCAAGTTCTCCAAGCCTCAGAGAGTGTGGGGCTCCATCCTCCGGAGCCTTTATATCCCCTCCACAGGGGGCGTGGACCTGCCAGGAGGCCCTTCTTAGGTTCATTTGGTGATGGTCGAAGTCCTTCCTTCTGTTTATTATGGGTCCCTGCAGAGAGTGCCTCACCTCGTAAAAGGTTTGCCTGGGCTTCCCCCAGAGGCAGGACCCCTTGGGGCTCAGTGTCATAAAGTGGGAGCTTCTCCGTATGGCTTCACAGCCCTGCACTCCTGAAAGCCCTGGCCCTCATTAGCAGGCGTGATGGTGCAAGATGGGCCAGCTGCTCTGGCTTCTGCCAGGACAGCCCCAATGCCTGGCAAACCTGGTGTCTCCTGGAGGAGTTGGAAGAGCAGAGCCCTTGCCCTGGTATTCTAGGTCAAATTTCCAAATGTCAGATCCATGGTTCTCAAAAAGCAAAAGAGGTTCCCTCTGGGGCAATATAACCAACCGGGTTCCTGGTGGCCCTGTGGCCCTGTGGTATGCGTGATCAGTGCCCCTCAAACAGACAATTGTGCTCAGGCCTCTGGGAGGATCAGAGGCCCAGGCTGGTGCTGTGGTCCAACAGGGCCTGTGCCTGGTTCAGGACTGCACGTTGGTGCCGGACATGTTTCCCACATGTGATCTTCGCAACCTGGTGGCTGCAACCTTGTGACACAAGTGGTACAACTCCCGCCTGACAGAGGACAGGACAAGGCGTGGAGGGAAGGACACAGCACGTCTAGATGCTGAGACTCCAGCACAGACTTTCCCATCAGATTACGATGCCGGACACACCAGCCCCCTCACCCCTCCCCATGCTGTCACTCACCTGGATCAGGGTACCCCGAGACTCACCGACTCACCACAGCAGGCCAGAGTCACCTTGGGGTCCCTGCCACACAGGAGGCACCATTGAGCCACGTCATGGTTGATACATTGCGTCAACTTGAGAAGGTCAGAAGTTTAACTCGTGGCTCGGCAGGAGGCCAGGGTCCCTAGTTTGTGACATCCTCAGCCTGCAAGAAGAGGGCGCAGATGGTGTGAGTGGTGCCCCCGCCCCAGGGGAGCAGCCTGCATGCAGTAGAAGACAAATGCAGAGGGACTGATGGCTGCTTCTTCGAGGAGCTCCGGTCTTCACCTGCAGCGTGGACGTTGTCTCCTGGCTCCTGGCACAGACTGTTCAGCTTCTGCCTGGGACTCCTCTGCCTTCCTCCTAGATGACTCAGTGTCCATCGCAGACCCCTTGGGCTCCTGATACGGGCTTGCACGGGACACTGTAGTGAGCTCCAGCCCTCGGGGTGGACCCTTCAGCCCTCTGCATGCTCCCGCACCCAACTCTGGGGCTGATCTCCGTAAGCCGATCTTGCAATTTCATACACATTTGTACATCTCCTGTTATGTCTGTTTCTCCAGTAAGCCCTGACTGATACCAGCAGGCACGTGTTTAATGAATGGAGCGGTGAACAGGAGATGATCCAAGGCAGGAGGTGACAGGTTTGCACACTGGGAACCGGGCGTTCTCAGGAGTGGGTGGTTTGTGCTAAGAAACACAGAGAGAAAAGTGGGAGCCACAGGTTTGAGGGAGTGGTGCGTGCACAGCGAGGGACTTCAGTGAGTCTCTGTGGCTGACGGGACCTTTGTGAAAGGAAGTGCTAGAAAACAAAGGTCTGGGGAGGTCACAGTCAATGGTGGCAGAGGAGACCAATGTGACCTTCCAAGCCTGAGTGTGCGGAGCCCCATGCTGGTTTCTCAGCTTTACAGACGTTTAGGAAAGGCTAAGAGGCGAGACCAGCAAGGAGGCGAGCTCGGCAGTCCAGGGAGGGAGGAATGAGGGGTACCAGGAGTCGCAGCACTGTACAGCAGGGGTGTGAGTAACAGGCAGGCTTTCAGTGCTGGTGCAAGGCAGAGAAACAGCTGAGCAAGAAAGGATCAAGAGCAGGGGGAAGCTGAGGACTGCACCTTGCAGAACTCTGAGGAAAGAGAGAAAGAGGAGAAAGCAGGGACGAGGGCGAGTTCCTCGCATCACAGGGCAGGCAGGAGAGCAACTGAAAGGGGGTGAGGTTGGAACTGCTCCCCTGTGGCCTGGAGCCTCGAGAGATCAGGATGGGGTGAGAGCCTTGGCTAATGGGACCCACCCCGAGGAATCCCAAAGGTGTCCCTCCTGTGTGTGCAGCAGCTGTGTCCCTAAAGAAAAGCCGCAGTGAACCCCATACACTGAGAGTCCAGACATGCAGAGGTGAGATCTCCGTGACCTGGAACAGTTCTGCACCAACCCATCCGGATAGCGCATGGTGAGGAGCTCCAATCTTAGGAATCCAACTTTCATAACTGAAATTCGCGTAAAACAGTTTAGAGAAGGGAGCCTGTTTGAGATTCATAACAGTTTGTGATTCAGCAACAACTATCCGGCAAGCTGAAGCAATATAACCTGCCTGTGCCTGTGACACATATAAAATGCAAATTATTGGTTACCCTGGAGAGAGAGGCAGTGAGGATAAAATCCCAGGGGAGGGGGCAGGCAAGGGCCAGCGAGCAGGGGGCCTTACTGGCCTCACAATAGAGGATGAAGTGAAGCTCAGAGGGCTCCTCCCCACAGGCCCCAGCTGCTCAGAGACAGCTGCAGATGAAAAACCAGGTGGTTTTGTGTTTTGCATTTAAGGTCTTCTTTCCTCATCTCATCTCCTGCTCTAGACCCCAAATGCCAACCAATAGAGAAAATCCTGGGGCGGGTAGGGTGTCAGGGTGCACGATCCTCTCGGTCATGAGCATCTCGGTCACTCTACCCCTGTTTTACTCATGAGAAAACCAAGGCTCAGAGAGAAAAAATGGCTTGTTCGGGCTCACGTCATCAGTACCCAAATCTGGAGCCCCCGACCCATCCCTAGCCTCGTCTCCAGGCCACAGAAACGATGCGCGATTCCACAATCTGATCTGCCACTGGCTGGGGCCGGAATCCAAAGCGGAAAGAAAGAGGGGAGCTGGGCACACAGCTCAGCCGCAGCGCTTGGCTGGCAAGCACGAGGCCGTGATTTCAAGCCTCAGTACAAAAAAAAGGAAAAGAGTCAAAACAGAAAAACTAAAATCTTGCTATTCACCAATATGTTCTGTTGAAAAAGAATCAAGAATTCAGGGGGAAATTGTGAATTCACCACGCTAAATTGCCCTGGTGTCTTCCTGGTCTCAGTTGTTATTTCTAAACTGATGTTATAATTAGAGCCCAACAATTTGAAGTAACTTAGATACAATTATATATCATGGGCATAGAATTACATACTGTGGGTTTGGAGCAACTTAGAATAACAGTGGGCCACGCTGACCCTGGTCAATAGCAACAAAAACATTGAGTCATTTTGATAATTAGAACAATGGAGAGATGTAAAAAAAACCCTGCCACCCTGCTACCCTGCTAACCCTTGAGGCTTTCACCTGTCAAGAATAGGAAAGGGGTTTTTTTTGTCCTCTATATTTTTTATTCATTCCAAAAAAATTTTTTAAAGTATATTACTTCTGCACAAGGAAACAACATAAAAGTTACTTTAAAAATTGCAAAAGGAAAAAAAATTGGAAAAGGAAATGCTTCCAGTGCCTCTGAAGAAGTAATAAGCTGTAAGAAGCAGTAAGTTGGGCTCCTATTCCAATGTCATCCCTGCACTGCCCTCAGCTTGTTACCCAGGAGAGAAGCCAGGGTCGGTATCAGAACTCAGGGCCATGGTACAGTCTGACTTTGCCAAACCTGAGGGAGCAACACAGACATGGTGGAGGGAACCCTGGCTGCCTGTCACCCAGGAATTTACTGGCATGGGCAGGAGGTGCAGATGACCGGGAAGCCACACCTGGAGAAGTCGCTGCCCATCCACCATCCAAGGAGACCAGTGTTGGCTCCTTCACCCTGAGCCTCGTCCTTGCAAAGACAGCAACGGTTCTCTCCCAGACGTGGGGTCTGAACTCCATGAAACCTGAAATCTCAGAGCTGGAGCTGTCAGAGACCTATGGAGTTATTTCTTCCAACTCCCTCACTCACTGTGCAAATAAAATAACTGAACCAGTCAGAGACATGAGCAAGAGTCTCAATTGGAAAGGAGCAAATTAGGTCAGCGAAATGAGGGGCTGGGGACAAAGTCTTCAGTCCTTATTCGAGAACTGGAGCTGGCACCATTGCAAAATGTGAGCCCCTCATCCGTAGTGAAAGGCGACTCAAAAAATAGAGGGTGCACCTTGTTTTAGGATGATTCTCTTAAGCCAAATATCTTTTACTGGACTCAAAATTTAACACCATAACTTCCTTTGAGATTACCAAGCTATGTGGAATTTACACATCACTGTGTTTAGGAGTTGAATCCGTGCTACTCACACTATTAATGAACCCCAGGCTAGAAAGTTAACAAGACACACAGGAAAGAAACAGTTTGTGATCAGCAAAGGAGACAAAGCATAAGAAACTGAAGATTAAAGCCCAAACATTAAATAAGTAATGTTTAAAGAGATTATAGACCAAAATTAATTAAAGCTGTCAGCATGGTGGCTATGAAGCAAAAAAAAAAAAGGAATCTGAACCTGGCGTGGTGGTTCACACCTGTAATCCTAGCACTCAGAAGGCTGAGGCAGGAGGATCATTGCAAGTTTGAGACCAGCCTGGTCTACAAAGTGAGCTCAAGGCCAGCCTGAACTACATAGTGAGATCCTGTCTCAAAAAGACGAAAAGGAGTTATGCTTTTAAAAACACACAGAAATTCTAGAAATGAGAAATATTGCTTAAAATGTAAATTTTAAAAGGAAGTCACCTGTTACTTCAAAAAGTCAAAATTTTCCCTGATGTCAATTATATTGTTTGAGGTAATGAATGTTGTCTGAACTTCTACAGAATTAACAGGATTATTACTAGAAGCAGGGTCCTAGCTTTCATTATACTGCTGGATGCTTTTAAATAGTAAATAGCCAACCTACTGATTAGGCCATAGTAATTATTGTTGCAAGTAATGTCATATTATCTGCTGCACGGGGCCTCACAGATAGTGACCCAGTTCATGGAGTCAATAAATGTGCATGTGTGAGTGTGTGTTGAGGTTTTATTTTGTTTTCTTATTTTTTCATCAAATAATAAATCTACTTTTATGAAATTAAAATCTTTTAACTGCTTTATGTTTAGCTTCTCATGCTATTTAGTTAGTTGGAGTTTTTGTTTTATTTTAAAATAAAAATGATGATACAAA